AAAGAAAAACAGTAAGGTAAATATCTACCTTACCTGGAGTATGTGAATGATAGATACATATAATAAAAGATAAGATGACACCGTAGGGCTGTATTCCAGATAAGTATGACTAGGATGTCCGTTGTGTAAAACTTGTTATTAAATGGCATTAGGCAATTCTACCTTAATTGCTTGGGCTTTAGTCATCACGATGCCTTCTCCGTTATCAAAGTAAGCTATTCAAAAATAATGATCCAGGAATTAATAATTCATGAGATTGGCTTTAAAATAATTATATTTTTAAGTTGTTAAATAAGCATCAGGTTCCTTTTTTCCCCCGCTATATTTTGATAGTAATCTCTTATCTTAGACAAGCTCAGAATATTTCTTCTAATCCTCAAAGCTTAATTTTCACATTTTTTCTTCTATCATGATGGCTGGGATTTGTTAATATAGTTACTGAAAATCAAGAATCTGACCTCATCAGACCTGTTGAAAATAATATCCTGAGAAAAAACACATATTACAGATATCATGCTAAAATCCCAAGACACAGCAACATCACCACATCTGTGCACTATCAAACCGATCGGCTGATCATTAGCCATTGTGTGTGATGCACCTGTGCTCCAAATTTATTTGTTCTACTGCGGTCATATGTACTGTGTGGCTTTATGTCTTGTCTTCAGTTTAATCTGTACAGCATTGTTCCTGTAGCAGAAATGTGGTCAAGACTGCAGGTAGCCTCAGGAATACAACTCTCAGATCTGTCAATGATGCTTGAGACAGATGAGAACTCACTTTTGCTTTGCAGAGATAAGAATAAAAACCCCAAAGAATTTATCAGCAATTATTGTCCTATTCTCAGGGGAAGTGGAGATCATATATCCTCTCTGCTTTGCAGGAAACTTTTACAGATTTGAAAATGCTTCCCCTACCCATCAGTCTTTTATCCTCAAGACTAAAGGAAAAAAGTATTCTTCAATCTTTCCATACTTCCAATCTTTTTCTTTTTTTTTTTCTTTTCTGTCATCTGGACTGTTTCCCATCTTTCTTGACATGAAATTCTCAAAACTGGGCACAGTACTCCTGATTAAACCTTACTGTAGCTGAAGGTGGAAGGACCTGTATCAAATATGCTTACTCTTCCTGCCTATTATGCTGCTTGTTTTCCTTTTGCAGTAGTATCATTATTGACTGAAGATAATGGTTAGACATCCCTCACACGTCCCCATACCTCCATTGTATTTTCACTAGCAGTTCTGCCTAGGCATTTGCTCCCCATCTTGTATTTTTACAGCTGATTGTGGCATTTTGCACCAGACAGATGCCACATATTTTGGAAAGCCAAGGCAGCGGAGAGGGGGGATTTGGGAGTGGTAGACAAGGAGGGGACTTCAGCTTCCCTGGGATCCTGCTGCTCTGCTGTGGGATGCAACTAAGCAAAACTTGCACTTGTGTCTCTTGCTAATTGATTTTTTCCCACAGACAGATTCACATTTCCAAATAGCATAAAATGACTGTAATACCACATAGTTCAAGTATGAGTTAAGATTTAGCAGCATGAGCTGCATACGGCTGTAGAGCTATAGACCATCACTCTGTTCAAGACCAGATCTATGGTTTTTTTCACACTGTTCTAAAAGGCTGTATGTGTCAGTGTCAAAAGTCTTTTTTTAAGATCATGAAAGCTATATCTACCATTTCTCCCCAAGGAGCAGCACCTGTTACTCTGTCATGAAAAGAAATGACTAGTTTGGCACAATTTCTTCCTGAAAAAACTTGACAATTATTTATCACCTTTGAAGAGCTTACATGTAGGTTGTTTGATTGCTGGTCCCACTGTCCTTCTAGGAATTAAAAATAGAAAGATGTGAAGTTACAGTTACATGGGTCTTCCTCCTCCTTTTTTACAAAAAGATGTAATGGCCTAATTGAGCAAATTATTTCAAAGGGAACTTAGGTGCTTGGAAATTAAGAATATAAAACTATCTAAAAACCTAAATCATGGATACTTTGCTGAAACCAGGACTGTGTCTGTCTTTTCTAAGTTTCTCTTCTCCATGAAGTCTCAAAGGTGTAGCCATTACTAGCCATGAGTCTGCTTCATTGGTTCCCTCAGTAGCCTAGGTTTCATTTCATCAGGCTCTGCCAATTGAGAATGGCTGCTTCACCTAAGTTGTACCTGACCTGTTCTCTGCCCACTCTACTCTGAGTTCTTTAGCCCTATTGCTGACGTTAATTATGTTAGTCATTTAATCACAGGTAATCTTTTTGCAGTAGTGACTGAGGCAAAAAGAACGCTAACTGCCTTGGTTTTTTTATGCGTCATATATTATTAGCTTTCCTTCCTTCCCACATAGTGAAATGAGTCTGCTTTTGGTCGTTGTCTTATTATTAATGCACTTACAGAAAGTTTTCTTGTCACCTCTAATGTCCCTGACTATCTCATTTTCTAGACTGACTGTTCTGCTTTGCTGTTACATGCCCATATTGTTTTTCTGTGTTCATCCTTAACAATTTAATCTAGTTTTCACCTTTTGTACAATTCTATATCAAGTATCAGACCATTGAAAAGTCATGGCTTAATCAAAATGATCTCTCGTTATACTTACTATTTTTCTTTTTCGTTAGGAAAATTTGTGCTTGAACTCTTAGTATTTTTTATTTAATCTTTACCCGTTTGCCTGAACTCCTTTTCCCTTACTGTTGCTTGCCATAACATTAAATTTATTAATTCTGTGAATTTATTAAAATCTGGGGGGGTTAAGACCATTTTTGTTAATTTTTTAAGACCATTGTTGTTAATTTTTTGTTGTTCTTCTTTCTTGCTGTTCTAAGTGTCACAAATTAGATCATTTCACCCAAATTGTCTTCCACCTCCTACATATTTCACACAAGTATCTGCATAGTTCTGTGCTCTGGATGCACCGAGAGTTCATTTAAAAATTTTTCATCTTCTTGAACTTTATTGTAGACTACATTGTTGACTTCTTAAAAACTTATTCTCTCCTTTCTTTTTTTGTAATCATCCACAGACTTCAATATCATCCATATAATTACTCAGAGTTCTGTGCTCTGGATGCACCGTTAGTTCATTTAAAAATTTTTCATCTTCTTGAACTTTATTGTAGACTACATTGTTGACTTCTTTTAAAAACTTATTCTCTCCTTTCTTTTTTTGTACATCCACAGACTTCAATATCATCCATATAATATTACTCAGAGCAAGTGTATATATATTTTTGATGATACAAAATCATACATACTTCCTTCATTCCTTACATATCTTTATGAACAAGCTCTATTGTTCATAGTCTCTAGTCAATCTAGTCTCTATTATACCAATTATGTATCATTTTGATTAAATGTTGGTGTACAAGTTCACAGTTTGTTCTCAGTTCTCCTCTGATATTCATTGTCTGTGTTCCTATGGTTTTTATCTATTGGTGAGTTTATGTCATTAGCCTTCACGTAACGTAATATAAAGCCATGCTCACTATGTTTGAGATTGATTTCCCTTCATTTTAACTATCTAGAAACTGAGCAACTAGTCTAAGCAGGACTGAATTTGGTTTACCTAACTTAACATGTAGGGTCATTTCAGCCATCTGACTAGGATCCCATCATAGTCACTGGAGATTCAGTCAATATATTAAAATTGTGAATTTATTTTAGTTGCTGTTCATTTGGCCAAAAATAGGGGTCTGAACACTTTTTCAATGTGATCAGGCTTCATTTAAGTGCAACAGAAAAAAGGATCCAAGGATGAGAGCTTCTGTTGTCCACTGAGGCAACAGGTTCCTGCCACACTTTTTCAAGAAATAGTTCCTAGATAGACCATATGATAAAACACAGCTTACAAACACATACCTAGTAGACCAGTCAACCAAACTTATTCACCTCCAAGGACGAAGGTATCTCTTTCTTTAGTAGGACAAGTTCTCTCAAGCATCCTCTGTTTGAGCTAGAAGTAGTCAAGAAAAGATTGTGTTTTCTCCACTGTCAATAGTTGTGTGCATGGAAGCCCTGCTATGTGATACTCATTCATGCAAATGACCATGTAGACTCTTAAGTGTGGAGGTAAGTGTTCAAAAATGTGGATAAGGCACGTTTAGACTCCTGATATTGCACACCTGCTCCCTATTTAGCTGATTTTTTTGAGGTATCTCTGTGGTTTTGTCTTATGTTTGTGTTCAGCAGACATTTTAACAAGTATTGCTAAGTTCTACTACACTTGCTTAGCTAAAAGTACATGGACTGGACTGTGGGAACTGATAGTGGTAGAGATACTGTTGGACACCACATTTTTTTAATTTCTGACTTTATGGAAAGTAAAATCAATAAAAAGTGAAAGATCCGTACTGAAAAAGACATAGGAAAGGAAGGCTCCTTCCTGAATATGTTCTTGGTCACAGTGAGACACAACCATATTGGGTATAGGAAGCATTTGGCATTGGCTGAGGGAAACTAAGCGTCCCACAGATTATACTGGTAATGAAATCACAACCACTTTCTATATGGTTAATATATTGCTATGAGTTGATGGATGTCATTGATTTCTCTGATGTATGGATATAGGTAAAGCAATTAGTGTATATACTTTTTTACTTGAAAAGGATCTGTTGTGTGTAGTAAAACAGCAGGGTACTTGCTTTATGCGTGTATAATTTGAAAAGTTAAAACACAAGACAGTAGCGCTGCTGGATATGAGGCTGCCTTCTGCTCAATGCTAACTGCTGGTCTGGAAGGACTCCTGAGACAGAATGAGCCAGAACTCTTTGGCTTGTTTCTTAGCTCTTTATTAGTTTCTTGTTTCAGTTTGATTTTATTGCTTTATTTTCTTTTATTATGTTCCAGATAAAATGCATCTTCAGAGGGACTCTTGTGTAAACCCAACAGAATTTTTCTCTTTATTTCAAGACTTGCAGTTCATAGAGTATTCCTTGGAGACTTGCACCTGGTAAATTCTCCACCATTAACTTGGATATCCAAAACCTGTAATTTTTCTTCTCTTGTAGAATCAAGTGAACATGAAGAGAAGAGTACAGGTGTCTCAGGTGAGGTATCTTCCACCCAACCTTGTCCTGCACCAGGATATACTCAGCCTGAAGAAGCAAAGGAGGATATGGATGTAACAAAACAGACTAAACCTGAAGAGAATGATGACTTGGGCCCACTGCCTGATAACTGGGAAATGGCTTATACAGAAAAGGGGGAAGTCTACTTTATTGAGTGAGTCTTATTTCTTCTCTTTCTAATAGCTGTATTGTATTTAACTGGGTGGGGAAATGGATTGTATGGTGGAGTGGAGCATTGCACTCCTCATTAAAACAGCAGGAATGTTCTGGCTGTCAAGGCTCCTGAGAGCTGGTGGCAATGCCTGCGTTACTGATTTACATTGAAGCATGCTGGTTTTTAAGATGGGCGACTGGACTGCTTAGCACTTCAACGGCAGCAATGAAAGCTGTTGTTTCTTCTGGCGAAAGCAAAGTTTATGTTCTGGTGCTTATGGGAGAGTAGCACAATCGCTGGGTTCTTCCTTATGTGGACAGAGGTGGAGAGGGTTGAGCTTTTTGCTAATTTAAAGAAAGCAAGCTAGGTGGGCTAAAAACTAGCTAGACCATGCTATATTTAGAAATAATAAAATAAATGAGTGGACAATAAGGAGAATTAATTATGTGTAAAAAGGTTTTCCTTTTGGTAGGCTATACATAACTGTTGCTACTGTTGCTAATTAGCCAATTCATGGAACAAATGGGTATGAAAGTTCTTTCTTCTCTAAGTGCTGTCATTACTACATGTTACCAGAATAAGAACACAGCAAATGAATGAGGTCATATAAGCTCATGTTCCACAAAAAAAAAAAGAGAAAGGAAAAACCAACATCTTCATCAGCAGAAAGGAATGTTCTGGCTGTCAAGGCTCCTGAGAGCTGGTGGCAATGCCTGCGTTACTGATTTACATTGAAGCATGCTGGTTTTTAAGATGGGCGACTGGACTGCTTAGCACTTCAACGGCAGCAATGAAAGCTGTTGTTTCTTCTGGCGAAAGCAAAGTTTATGTTCTGGTGCTTATGGGAGAGTAGCACAATCGCTGGGTTCTTCCTTATGTGGACAGAGGTGGAGAGGGTTGAGCTTTTTGCTAATTTAAAGAAAGCAAGCTAGGTGGGCTAAAAACTAGCTAGACCATGCTATATTTAGAAATAATAAAATAAATGAGTGGACAATAAGGAGAATTAATTATGTGTAAAAAGGTTTTCCTTTTGGTAGGCTATACATAACTGTTGCTACTGTTGCTAATTAGCCAATTCATGGAACAAATGGGTATGAAAGTTCTTTCTTCTCTAAGTGCTGTCATTACTACATGTTACCAGAATAAGAACACAGCAAATGAATGAGTTCATATAAGCTCATGTTCCACAAAAAAAAAAAAAAGAGAAAGGAAAAACCAACATCTTCATCAGCAGAACACTACTTAAAGAGGTAGCAGTAGCATTTCTGTTTGCTTTAAGGAACTGCCTCAAACAATTTGGAGCATTAACCATTATTCTGATAATTAGTAGGTAAAACTAACATTTGGTGGTGTCAATTCTGCTTTAAGTCCCTTATTTCATGTAAAATTTTATGACTATCACATGAAGTGTAAACAAATTATAAGAATAAAGTTTGTGTACATGATTTTTCATGAACGCTGGCATGACCAACTATAACTTCTGGCATATACAAGGCTGAAAAGAGCAGTAACTATTAAAACATAAGTGTCTTTGCTGAAAAGGGCAAAAATATACTTATTCTAGAAAAAAAGTAATTATAGTAACTTTGCCCAAGCAAGCAGAGAAGAACTAAGATGACCTCAGGACTAGCTCAAACCCTTGTTTCCTTCTTACCTCACTCCTAAATTTAATTTTTCTGCACATACTGAATGCTCTGACAGAGCGCAGACTGAATTATGTGGCACTTTTATTTTACTTGTTGTAACAAAAACCTGATACGTTTGGAGGGTGGGGGACGGGATGATGCGTAGGTCACTAACACACCAAACTGTGACAGTGCTAAACGCTGCAGCAGGTAATTTAATAGAAAATAAATTTGTATTTTGTAACAACCACAGTGAATGCAAATAGCCCTGCCGCTCTACAGAGCAGCCATTCCACTCCACAAATTCCTTTGATGTTACAGCTTACTTCCTTTCCTGGAAATGCTTTGGTTTACACTGCAGTTCTGACAATGCTCATCATTCACTCCCACTAAATGAATGTTATGTAAAGCAGAGAAATCAATCAGAGGTGCAGACTGGATAGAAAGACTGTTATAAGGGCTCCTTGCCTTTGGGATTATATTCTTGAATAATGTAATTGCAAAAAAGTGCAATTACACATCTGTAAAAATACCAGATTATTTACTAGAATCCTAGCAAAGGAACAACTCTTCGATCGTTTCAGTTTTCACATTGCACAGTCTTCACAGGGTTAAGTAGGAATGTAATGCTGTGGGGATGCTGTTAAATTGCCTCTTTGTTTACAAGTCACTTTGGTTAATGGCATGAAGAGACTCCATTTGCTTTTGCAAAAAACAGAAAGATAAAGAGACAACAAAAACCTATTTGTCTAAGAACATCTCCCCGAAATAGTAAAGAAACAGTAGTAAAGATTGTACTAGATTATTAAATAATAGATGAAAACCAAACATTTTTAAAGTGTACATCACAATGGGTGAAAAAAAAGTCATACTAGGCAGCATCTTTTATTGCTTTATTTGAGGCTCATGTGAATTGTGCCTTTAAACCCTAAGGACTTCAAGCAGTAAGCGATCTCAAGTTCCAGATTGTCACAGGTATATCCAAAGGTCTTAGATTTCATGACAGCATTTTCATTCATTCACCTCAAACTAACCTCTAAAATTTGTATGTGAGCTCATTTATCAAAACTGCCATCAGAAGTAACATGGCAGATTTACAGTGAGAAAGGGAGTGATTTCATAAGAAGAAAGATAACTGTCTGTAGATAGTATTATTTATTTGTTAATCATTAATGGCCCAGTTAGCATTTTGTAAAGCACACTGGAAGGAATTTCCTCTGCCTCAAGGTCTAAAAAGAAAAAAATAAATCATATACTAGATTCACTGGATGATTCAGAAGATGGTTGTATTTTAGAGCATGGCTTGGTCTGTTTCTTCCTTTCTTTCCCTTTTTTGACATAGGTGCATGACCTTATGTTTACCTATATTAGCATTCACAGACAGAACAGGAAGAGATCCCTTCTTACTGCATAATACTTACCACTGTTTAAGAGCTACTTAAGTACATTTCTTGGGCTGTTTCCAGCCTCCCTTACATATGAATCCAAATGCTAGAGCATGGCTTGGTCTGTTTCTTCCTTTCTTTCCCTTTTTTGACATAGGTGCATGACCTTATGTTTACCTATATTAGCATTCACAGACAGAACAGGAAGAGATCCCTTCTTACTGCATAATACTTACCACTGTTTAAGAGCTACTTAAGTACATTTCTTGGGCTGTTTCCAGCCTCCCTTACATATGAATCCAAATTTTCAAATACAAGCACACACCACACAAATAGGAGTCCATCTTCTACGTTTGCTTTCATTGAGAACATATGCTAATGAGAACATGCAATAATTAAAACACTGTACATAAATAGGAATACCACCAAAAAAAACTTCAGTTCTGCTCCTTCTTTTCTACTTTAAATAAGGCTGATGAGTGTGACATATTTTGGCATCCTTAAATAAATTGTAGCCATCACTGATTTTTAGTTTTTCCCTCTCCCAGGGCTAAGGAAAGGCTGCAGTTCCCCATAGCCTTCAGACCTCACCTTGCCAACTACTCTCCAACCACATACTAGAGACATGAGTGTCGTGTTGTCCTCACAAAGTCAGCAGACGTTGGTTTCGTTGGATCCCGGGCAATTGATGTTTGCTGTGTTGGTCTAGTGCAGTGTTGAAGGGAATACAAAAGGACCAAGTCTCTCAGTGCATCCGCTATCATGTGTAGTCAGTCTTGAATGTGGCCCTCACCCAACCCTCCAACTCCATCACATAAACCATGACATTATAGACTCTCCTGTAGAGATGGTTACGCATTATGATGCTTATTTATAAAAGGCAGAATTGATTTTGCCTCTCTCTCCAGCGCTCTATCCGCCTATAGGCAGCAGAGCTCTCTGGAAGGGGTGCGGAGAGATGAAGACATTAAACCAGGAAGAGCTGCGGTAAGTTAAGCTGAGCTACAACTAAGCCTTGATGAATAGTCTCAAGGACATTATTACGTAGCCCATAACAAAAGCTATTTACCTCTATGCCGTTCAAAAGCACATATGGTTTCCTTTGCTTATACTACATTAATAATTGTTTTGTTCATGGAGAAAAGCCTAGAATAAACTCAAACCTCTGAAATACATCTTTAAAGGATCATCATCTTTGACTTGTGGTGATGATTGTTAGGAGAATTTGGCCACATGAGGTTTAACAAACCACTTTCCGGTACATCTCACAGACATTCAGTCTCTTCCTACTTCAACACCTACTTCTCTGAGCAGTGTAGTCAGCATTGCTTTTTGGACCTGTTGCAATATCTTTTTCTAGTTGTTAAAGCTGCTTTTTTTATGAGAGCACCATAAAAGACTACAAAACAGCTATAAAATAGGCCTCTGCCAAGGACTCCCCTCTTCACAGTAAAAACCAGCCATTAAGTTTTTGAATACAGCTGGTGCTATTTCAGGTGTTACCTGAAAAGAAGTACAGCTACAAATTGGAAAAGTAAAATCCTGACCTAGTTTGTTTCTAAGAATATTGCTACTGACTTCAATGGGATCAGGATTTCTTCTTAGTAGTTTTTAAGGTAGGAAAGTCTTTTGGTTGTAGGAATTACATGTTTATCCTAACATGTTGCTTATGTGAAGAATCATGATATATTTAGCTGTTCCTGGTTGCTCCATCAGTTCACCATCAGAAAGCAGGATATATTAGTTAAGCCTGGCTACACCATTACATTTCATAACTTTATCTTTTGTATTAGAAGATGCTAAAAGTACTGAGGTGGAAGTACACCCTTCTACCTGCTCAAGATTACTTCCATATCCTGCAATAATTACCCTATCTCTTATAAGCTAGCTTGGCACTTTTGAGAGTATGTTACGTCATCAGTGTATCAGTGCATAATATTGAAATTCACCATGTTTTGGTTGTATGGTTATTTCTACTACTTTAATTAAG